CCTTTTTTTAGCCGGTCTGATCGATAAGGGTTCAATTTCCCTATTAGTTGTGCAAATCCTTTTTCTTGGGCACAACTTCGTTTTGGGTATAGGCATCGGTGGTATGTGTCAATATCAGAAGTATGTAGCATGATTAAATTCATCGGAATTGCTTGTTTAAGTACTGCCCCAACGTTCCCATGCTTTTGACATCTATGCATTTAAAATGTTTTAGTTTCTGGGCCGTTTCGTGTTTCTGAGACAATTATATGCGGCGAATGTTGAAGTACATATTTCTGGTTTACGGCAGGTTCTCAGCGTAGAAATGCTGCGATGCTGGATAGTGATGATGATGGATGTGTGAGCTTGTTCTCATCGGCCCGTTCTTCTCTCTTGGAGGTGTCAGGGGCTGAAGAAGTGCACTTAGATAAGATACTTTGCTCGACCGAGCTCTGGATGCTTTAGACGAGAAGAGGTAGTTACTAACATCAATGGCGGCTACTTATAGAAGAGCTTTAGTCTTGCAATGATAGGATCAATGGAATCATGCATATTTTTCATATTTTGCAAATTGAAATGGTGTATTCCTCATGTCCATTTCTTATCTCTGCCCCCTTCTGGGTCTAAATTAAGGACATTTGCTTTCTTGGATGAAGGGGTTCCACAAGGGAGAATGCTTTGTCATTTATCGTTGAAGCATTCAGTAGCAATATGCAGTATAAGTTTGTGGAGAAGAAGTAAGCATTTCTCATATAATTTGAAAATTTTCTGTGATATATTTTGTTTTGATATGTTATTTGCTTTTGCTTTATTGCTACAAAAGCAACGAGAAGATAGATTGCTATTACTGGGTTTTGTGAAATGCAACCATATATTCAGTAATTCACAATGAATAATAACCCTGTCTCTGGGGCACGCTTCTATCTGTCCTCTAGGGTTCTAAACTTCTCATTCAAGTGAGACTACAGAGATAATTTGTGTTAAATCACGAGCGATACATTGTGTTAAGTGTTAAGTTTATGCACCTGTCACTACCTGTTCTTTCTAGATATGCCACTCTATTGCATCAGTGTGTTGGTTCAATAAGAAAAGGATCCAAAAAGGCATCTGCAAAGGAGATAGCCCTGGCATCTCATGTCATTGGTAAGATTTTGACCAACGTGCTCGTGTTCCCCGTTGTCTTCAGTTACTTGAATATTTATTTTAAATCAGGCCTGCTGATATTGACTGTTGGATACGGTGATAAAGCACGGGGAATATTTGAAGAATACCTCCGTTCTCTTGACGAATCTCTTGCATCTGGATCAGATATCTCAAAGATTTCAGTAAGTATTTTGTTAAAAATTATGCTGGGGTTTGTGCTCAACTCCTCCCTACCGATTCTTGATAGGCCATGATGGTATTCATTTCTCAACTCAATTCCATGTTTTTATAGTTGGTGGAATGCTTGGCCATCATCACTTTTGTTGGAGGGAATGATCAGGAGGAGACTCAGAGGTCAATGGACACGATGTGGCGGGTGATTAACCCTAAATATGGTCCTAATGTGGGTTACGTTCCTGTTTCAAAAATATTTATGATTGTCCCGTGGATTTTACTCTTATTAATTAATTCATTTTGCTGGTCAACACCCTTACTAGTAGGATAGACTCATAAGCGTGACACGCTTCTGGTAAATAATTTAGAGATGCATTCAGAAAACCGTGGATTTCTTTAAATAAAATATATTAAATAGGAAAATCAATTAAAAATGAATATAATTTTCATTTCTTATTAATTAATTAATGAAAAATGAAATTTTTAATCAATTTTTTTCTACTTGTTCCTGAAGTAAAAAGAGTTTCATTTGTTCCTGAATAGCTTCTTTCATTCCGTTTTCCTTAATCCCATTTTTAAATCTTAGAAGAGCCCCTTCCCCCCACCTTTTTTCTTTTGAAAAAAACAAATGTACATTTTCAGGCTTACAATCAAATTATAAATAAGAACGTAAATTCTTCCTATATTGATGTTCTTCGTTTTCCTTCCTTAAATTTACTGATCGAGCATTTCATCTCTAGGTAGTAATAGTCAAACCCTCTGCTCTGTTGATAACCATTGTGGTGTCTGCCTGGTCTTTTCTCCTTTCCACCATGGGCGAAGTGAAGCTAAACTCTAAAAATTGGCGAAAGTAAGCAATCTTCTCGCTGTCCAACCTGTTTCATTCCATTTCTGCCCTATATTATGTGCAATTCTTGCATTTTGCCGGTGGCTTGGCTATGGATTGCCATTGGTCAAATCATCCTGCTTTTTGCTGCCATATAAGGGTGACCCAAGACAAAAGATAACCAATGGATCTGATTAGTTGATCTGCTATTTTCATGCAGTTACATATCTTATTTGTCTTGTCTTCTTGACAAGGAAGACCGATCTATTCGTAAAGTTGCTGGTGAAGCACTGGCTCTAATTTTTGAGATTGGAGGCATGGAGAATTTGTCTGCTGAGCCTAAGAGTGCAAATGACATGATTGGAGAAGATAGTGAACCACAGGAAAGTTATGTGCACATCCACGGATTGAAAGGGAAGGTCATAGATCAAGTTAGAGATCTTTCTGTGGAGGCTGGCGGAAAAGGTGCTTCCAAAAAAAATCTCAACAGTCAGAAGATCTTGTTTCGAGATATCTTGGAGTTTTTTGAGGTAATTTATATTTGTATTGCTGATTATTCCAAACTCTAAACTGTCTCTGGTTCATCTTGGCTCGTGAATTGAGATTTGTTGCTTTTGATAATAGCATGGTTACTCCCCTGAAATTTCAATGAAGATTGATGGTGAATTGCTACAGGCATCATCATGGTCCGAGGTGATACAGGTATTTCTTGCTTCCCTATATTATCTCCTACGGATCTCTCCTTTTCTGTACTGGCGTTTTTATACTTTCCTTCTTGCAGTTGAATTTTCTCAAGCGTTTCTTGGGTGGAGGGTTTGTTAAGCACATGCAGGTTGGTGTTCTCTTGGCAGTCTAGATCTTATATCATTTTGAAAAGATTGTATTTTCTAACTAGATGGACCCACCGCCCTCCTTTTGTTCCCCCTTTTCTTCATCCTCCCTTGGGAAAGCAGGAAAATAATCTCCTTCACAATGTCTTCAACTTCATACCCAGGAGAAGGAACTTGAGTCACAGTGAACTTAAAATGACCAATTGTGAAAAGGTGAGTTCTTATTTCGGTTGTACTTAGTCTGTTACACACCAAGTGTTGCATTATATTGGTGTTTTTCTTCTCCTCTTATCCAATTGGATACTTTCAAGTAACATTAATTATTCTTTCTACTTTTCGTCATTCTCTGATCTTCATCATATTTTCTTGCAGAGAATGTTCAAGTCTTCAAACTCGGTTCTAAACAAGGCAAGGACACAATCACTTAAGAAGCAACGGATGTTATCTGAGGTTCGCATTGTCTCCGCTTGTAAAGAATATCCACTCCTGTTTGCAAACTTGCCATGCACATGGTTGCTCTTAAATGTCTTTGTTTTGGCAAAGTACTTCAATATTATTGAAGTGCAACCAAAGTCCAACACTTGGTGGCTTGGGCCTTGGGCTCAGTTAATAATCAAGCAACTGAAGAAAAAACTTATTTTGTAACTGAGTTTTCAACTCTGCTCAAGCACGGCCCCATTTAAGATTCGTAGTTTGGCGCCGTTTGATAAACTCATTTAACATCCCTCGTGATTTTTAATCCCAAAATAAATTTGCACACTAAATCCTTTTAGCTGATTTTAATATTTTATATGTAATCATCTTAGATATTGCAGGTTTATTATCATAGGGAACGTTGTTCATTCATTCTTAATTTTCCCCTAACAGGGCAGAAACTTGGGTCACTATGCGGTGAGCATGGTTGACGAAGTCATGTGCTATTGACTGGAAACTGGAATTATGATGACCGCCGGGGTTCAATCATTCGTTATAGCTTTTTCTGTCCCCGTTGACTCACTGGAACGGTTCCTAATGTTTGCAAATTCCACCCTTATAAGTCATAAAATCATGTTGTTAAAGCCAAATGCAGATAGCCATAAAAACTAAAAATCGTTATTCAATCTTATCCAAACAAATCTATCTACCTTTACTATAAGACTATAAAAAATTATAATATTTATAAATTATGAACAGTGCGTGTCGCATCACACAAAACCTTCAGTTTCATACTCTTCATAAGAGAGTGGCCTTCATGTCTGTGGTCAAGTGGACACAGTATTGTATAGTAGTGTGATGTAACTATGGTATTGAATTATTCATTCTCGACAACCCTTCCAGGAGTGTACTTGAATCATTTTCTACAGCCAAGTTTGTAAGTGCATCCTCTTGTGTAAAGAAGAAAAATATTATTTTGTATAATTCCATACTGACTATAGTTGAGCTTCATTTCTATAATTAATATAAAAATCCGTTAATCAAATAAGTCTTATTCGCCCTTTGATTTCCAGCAAGACCTAATTTATATATAAAAAAAACAAGTGTTATTGATCATCAATATAACATTATTTTTCCCATTTACATCATATTGTACAATTTTTCAAAGAGTAAAATATGCTAATACTCATACTTGGTTTTGATTATAAAGACAATTCGTTCAATTTCGAATTATATATATATATATATATATGTAATCCCTCCATAATTAAAAGTTACTATGGTATTTCAAAACCTCTAATTTTATAGATTCAATTTCCGATTACTCCACCATCTATTAGCCATTTATCACCGAATAAGCCTTTTTTCGGCAAAAAGGTTACCTTTCATGGGATCATATATTCTGTTCAACACATTTTCAACACATTTTTAAACTAGTGATGGAGATGAATCTAAAAGAGTTTCATTTGACAGTACAGCTAATAAGGTGCATCATAGTCAAAAAGAAAAACCACAACCGACAACAGTAAAAAAAGACTTGGACGAATCTGGCGCAGTAAGAGCAACCAACTCCTTGTACACGAAGCACAAACTTTACGTCTGTGTGTGTATATATATATATATAAAGTATAAACTTTACAAACACACTATTTTATTTACCGCAAAGTAACACAAGAAAACGTCTATGCTGTGACTTTTACAAGAATTTTTTTTCTTGGGGGGGGGGCCTACAGAGACAGAAAATACGATACAAGTAAATCTATCTACGTATGCAAAGAGCTCCTCCCGTATAGTTTTAAGGTGGTGTTAAAGATAAATACACATGTTCCCCAACCGAAACTAAGTTTAGTTTGAAACATCCAAAAATATTTGGCAGCTGTAGAGGAAAATCACAAGAAAGAAATGATCCCATTTTGCTACGGAAATAAAGGAGAATGATGCTAAAAACATTTAGTCGCTCCAGTTATCCCGGTCCTCCATTGGTAATTCATTCTGCAGTTCATGTCAAGGTTGTCAAAAAATGGAATCTTGGGAAGGGCAGTTAATTGGCAAGTCAAACTTGATAAACTAAAAAAGGCTGGGTTTCAAGAATGTACCGCTTCATCAGCAATTACTCTAGGTGGTGACCAGACAAGAATTTGTTTATCATTTCCACCAGTGTATAGCTCCTGTGACAAAGTAAAAGTAAAGAAATAAATTAGAAATTCTCAATTAGAATGATAATTGACAAAATTAACCGCAATAAAACCAGAGCCACCAGGATAAATTACATTACCATTCATCAGTTTAGTTCTAAATGATTCAGGGTATGACATATAACTAATGTCTCGGGATTTTTTACTTTTTTTCTCTATTTTCTTATTTATTAAATGATAATTAAGTTGCCATATTATAGTAAGTCCTCATAATTTAAATTTTGTTTCTTCCACTCCGATAATAAAAATTAAAGAACGATGCCATTTTATGAAGATCCAATTAGAGATACAGTGTCCTCGGCTCCTCCCATTTACCTTCTACAAGAAAATGAACAGTGAGCCAAGAACATACCTGATCTTGTTCGCTAAACCAGCAAGAATTCACACATTCATAGTGGCCACGAAATGTTGCATGTGTGTACCCTGACCACACGTTGAAAGACTGAAATGTAAAATAGTTTTATCAGCATTCATTAGGGTATTTTTATAATTTAATCTGAATTATGACAAAGAGTGGGAAGGGATGTACTTTCACAGATCTCATGCAGGGAACAAAAACAAGGGTTGAATCCCGAGTGGTGGCTAATTGAATTGGTTTGTTTGTTTGTAGGCGCACTGTTTCAAAGTTCACCAGTGTGTTGCATCCCGATTCAACATCCCATAACCTCAATCTTGAATCAGATCCTGGTTCCAAAACAGTGCGCACAGAGAGCTTAAATTTGCATAGCACTTAGTTAGTTTGATAAAAAGAAAAGTAGCCTACAAATTTTATATGGAGTTACATTTAAAGATTATCTTTTGCATGGATAATTCTTATGATTCTCCAATAGCAAATACAAAACAACCTGCACTTAAGAGATACATGCCATCCTCAGTAACTTTTAACCCAGTCACGGCACCATAATGAGCAGTTGCACGGTCTTGAGTAGACAGCATCCCTGGATGTAATCTCTGTTTCATTGGTCCCTTGGCAGAAACTTTACCTATTGACAACTGCCTGCTACCACTCCCATTAGAAAGTTTCCTTTGTCCAGCATGTGATTTTATACTCAGATTGTGTCCCGCCAAGGACTTGCATGTTGAATCCTGTCGGTGATGATATGGAAATTGTCTATTAGGCAGGCTTCAGTATAAGAAGCATTTGGGTGGGATCAATTTCTGCATGAATCAAACATGCTAAATATTTGCTGCAACTTCAGCCATATATTAAAATTATGTATGATTTTCAATTAAAAAAAAAAGACATGATCATTAATGTGTCAATAAAAAAACCTTAGTTATCTTGGAGCATTTAACCACTGGTGGGCGCCTTCCGAGTTGCGTTGAAGACTGATTCAACACTAAGAAACAGCCAGCTCGTCTGATGTCCCAAAATCGTATAGCACCATCACATCCCCCAGTAACTAAGACCCATTCATTTGAAGTAGACCATTCTGCAGTCATTACTCCGTCTGCCATCACAGATAACATCTCTTGAAATTATGAACACTCACACAAATAGGCATTTTATTTTCCAGCATCTCTCATAAACGCTCAATTACAGAGGCTCATGAATTTAGATGCAGAATTATTTGGGAGACAATATTTTACAATAGTTCCTCCAAAAGCACAGTTGGGAAAGTTTGTCCAATAAGAAAACACAAACATATTGTCCAAAAAAAAAGCCCCCCCGGGGACACAACCATATTGGGTCATATTATGAACATGCTTAGCCACAAATATTTGCCTGCGCCAACCCTTAGGAGTGCATATATTACAGAAATATAAATCATGCAAAAGCATTCAACATGTTCTGATAATCAGAAGACATTAAAGGATTCAGCATACTACATCCTTCCAGAATATGCTTCATGCATGGGCTTTAAGTATCACGCTCTTCCTAATAAACAACTAGCATTCTTGAAGGATCTAGTAAGCTAACCCCAAAAAATCTATTTAGGACCAGCACAGAAAGTGATACAGCATAAATCCAAGAGATATAACAACCCACATACCACGGTGACCAGATAATGTGTGAGCAAATGCCCCTGAAGCAATATCACAAAGACGAACTTGGACATCCTCAGTTCCAGCGGCAATAAGCATGTGAGATGTTGCCAATGAAGACATTGCAGTCCTATAAACCTTTCCAGGCATTTTGAAATTCATTACCACCTATAGAATTTTGTAAATTTCATAAAAAAGCAGAAGAAATTCATATTATTAATCTTAAAATTGAAAGTTCAGAAAACAGATAATAAAGGAAGAACAAGATTCAAGAAGGATAATGACCTGGGTGGTATTTGTATCCCAAACATTAATATGATGATCATATGAACCTGTAATGAATAGACCGGTGTCAACTGGATACCATATAGCCGAGGATATGGCATATTTGTGCCCAAGATTGTGTTGCTTGTCAACAGCAAATATGCACTTGTGTTTAGATATTAGACCACCTGCTTCATAATCCGTGGCCCGTTGAACATCGTATATGGCTATAGAAGCATCAGATGCAGCAGATAACAAGTATCTTCCCTCTGTCAAATCAATCTGATTTCATGGTCAAAAAGATTGGATTTTTTATTTCCATTGGAATAGAATTCCATAATTATAGGTACATGTTAAAACAACATGACGCTCAATAGGCATATGTAAAAAACGCCTTTTACAAGAAAGAAGGGACCACAACAAAATATGAGAATGATTTAATCATCTAGAAAATTCGAATACATAGGCATATGTTAAAAAAAAAAAAACTCTTTTAACCATACAAGACGACCACAGTCAAACTCTAAGTAAGATGAAAAAGATCACATTCTTCATTGAGCAAACGGACTTCTGTTTCAGGCCCACCTTGCCATAACCCAAAACACAATTTGCAAAAAGACCAATCAAAGAAACAAATGATTATCCGAAAATAAATAAGAGATGCAAACAATGAACTAATCGCAGGGTTGAAAAGGAGCAGAAAGAAGGTGATATTTGAAAAGAATGAATAAAAACAAGAGCGGAGCACCTGGAGCGAGTTTACGGCGCCTTTATGAGGAGAAACAATATCTTTGTAATTGGAAAGTTGGAGCTGCGCAATGCGATTGGACTTAAAGCGATGAACGAATGATTCCGGGCGGATTTTCCCCTCTTCTCTGTCTCTGATCTGCTTCCACATATTCGAAGCATCTTCGAATAGACGCGAATTGTCCCTCCTTCACAGCTTCTCCCTCGCTCCAACACATGCACGCTCCTAATTGAATTGCTGAGGCAAATTCAACTCAGAGCCCTCTCTATAGTATTGCCACTCCTGCTTCCAGTTCGTTCGTTCCCCCTCGAGTACGCGAACGATATGTTTTTGTAGAACGCAAGTTGGCTCCATCGTAATTGGGCTGACAGTATTTCTTGCTGCTCACAACAGGTCCATGGCCCAATATTTTGGACTAATGCTGGGCCCACTCAACTTTTGTAGACTAGGAATCAATTCCATATGGACCTTGAGCTTGTTAAACCTGAACTCCAGGATAAATACAATTTTAATCAAAATGTTGCATGATATTGTATGAAAAAATGTTTTATGATCAATAAATCATCAATAAATTATTAAAAAAAAGTAATGACTTCCTAATTTACTTCATGTTGTACGAGTTTCACAGGCCTCTATTATTATTTATTTCTCAAATTTTTGTGTAAATAGTTTAAATCCATGTATTGTGTGAATTATACACTATATATATGTATATATAAATTGACATGTATTTTATTACATATTATCATTACACGGTTATACATTACGTAATTGTTTTATTTGTGACTTCCGCTATGAATCGATGATTGTGCCATACAATTATATATGAGATAGTGTTGGTTTTATTTATATTATTATTATTATTGTTATTGTTATTATTATTATTATCATCATATTATAATAAAAAAAGAGGGAAAAATAACTATAAAGTCCCTTACAAACATTGTAACCATCGCAAAGTTTCACCAAATGTATGAATAGTTGTGAGGTCCTTGGGGACTTGACTGTAAATAATGTTTGTTGTGAATTGACAAAAAAAAAAAACCCTTATTTTTGGGAGAAAAAAGGAAACAATCAAAACGCTCCCATGGTCCCTATCCCACCAAGGCAATGTGTCAGTATGTGATTGGAACTCAGCTGTAGCACTATGTGTCGCTCTTATTCTTATTCCTAAAAAATTGCAGTTGCTTTGTCTAGTACAGGTTATCTGCATGAGTTTGCTTGGGGGAAAGGGGGGAAAAACGGCCACACACTCATAAGCACGTTAATAAATAAAACGGTCCATCTCCCCTCCCTTCCCTGTGTCCTTTTCCTTTGAATGGAAGGAGATTTCAATATAAGAAACAAAAAAACGACAAGGCTAAGCAGTGCCTTCAACGAATGCTAACAAGTTTTAAAGCCTTGATAGGTCTTGTTTGGTACGTGAGAATAAATTTTAAAGAATTGAGAATGAGACTGAAAGTGGAGTGAGATTGAGATTTAAAAACATATTTGATATAATACTTGGATAATGTGGGAATTTTAAAAAAAACACTCAAATAAACCAAAAAAAAACGAAGCTAAAAGGCCAAAGCTAAATTATCCTCATCTTCTTCCTCATTGTTGCCAAGGTCAACAAAAGCCATGGAGGAAATCAAACTAGATCTGGCTTCCAAAGCAACTCAACCTTTTCCAATTTGTGTTTACAATGTCCATGTCCAACAACCTCGACCATCTTATCGTCTTTACTAAATCCATAGTGTCGTTGCCCATTTCAAGAACCTGAATAATGGCCAGAATGATCAGAGATCCGCTATGCCCACGAGCAAGACATGGCATTCTTTTCTATGAGGGACTCGTGTGTGCACGCTCTACAATTTAAAAGAAGGAAGTCGAGGTGGCTTTGATTTTGAGAAGTAGTCTCTACACTTCAAGATGTGCTCTTCTATATGTGGAAGACGTCAATTGAACGTCGCCATCGATGGAAGACGTCATGGCTAGCACAAGACACAGCATCGCCAATGATGACAAAGGTGGAGACTAGAGGCAACTTGGAAGAGAGAGGGACATGGAGTGAAAGAGCAACTTATCTTATAATTTTTCATTTCCAGGATTGATTTCTTAATATCGAGGGAGGTAGTACTAGATATTTAGACTTAAATGGGATTGAGTTTATAAATAATTTTGTCACCCTTACTTACCAAACATTAAAATTTGGCATTATCCAGTCCCAAGCATAATCCCACTTCCTTTATATTGCTCTCAATGACATGTTGGTCACTATTGGCAACTCATGGATGGCTTTTGTAGCAATAATGGCTCGATCCAGGATTTCTATTAAGATACCATGGTTGATTGCCTGGAAGAAGCCCTATGGGCCATAGTGGAGGCTGCATGCCTGACTTGCTCTACTATCGTGAGATGATGATTCAGAGAGTCAAGACTGCAAAGGTCGATAGTGGGGATTTCGACATCAATGAAGATAGGATTTGAGGGTGACTAAGAAGAAAAAGGAAGGAGGAGGAGGGAGGTAGGGAGAAAGGAAGCGTGAAAGGATTGTGGGAGTACTTGCATGTGCTTTCTTTTCCTTTCTTTTTTTTTTTTTTTTACTGAAGGTATTTTTATTAATTCACAACAAATATTATTTTTAACTAAGTCCCTAAGGACTATAAAATTATTTATAAATTTAGTAGGGCTTTATGATAATTAAAATGCTTGTAAAGAATTTTATAGTTATTTAAAAAAAAAGAATGCTTCATTTATTAAAAATTATAAAATATTTTTAATCAAATCTCACTCTTCAATAAAATAATTATTTATTTTTAAATTAATTCCATCTTTATTTATTCATCTTTATTAAACATTCTGTAATAAATATATATTTATTATTAATAAAAATATTTTTTTAAAAAATAATGATTATATTTTAAAAGATTTAAAATGTTTTATATTTTTTAATATTTAATTTTTTAAAAAATGTTTTAAGTTTTTAAACGTAGGAGTATAATTAATCATGTGGGAGTGGGAAACGCAGAAAATCACGTAGCAGCGGGGCTGGGGGACATGATTGGCACCTACAAAAAGGCTTGAAGGCTGAAGCCCTAAATGTAAAGTGGAGCCTGACAGGCACGTGCAAACAGGAATTCCTTTGTCCATTAAACAGTATCGGATTTTAATAGGTTTATGCCTCGCATCACATCACATCATCTTGAAAAATTTAGCCTTTTTTGGTCTCTCAAGATCCACTGGAATCTGTTTCTTTCTCGTTTCCTGTTCCTGGAGCTCGAGTGCCACGTCAACTCCCAACCTCGCCCACATGTTTATTTCAATTTTTAAAAATTATTGAAGTTCATATATTAAATTTGTCGTTGAGAATTTAAATTTAGATTATTAACATTTGTGCCGTGTTGGAGTACTTTTTATCTGTGCTTTGAAAGAATTGCTCTTTGATCCTTGCCCGAAAACACTATGACCCAGAAAAGATGGGATATGATGTTAAAGCTCAAGGGCGATGATTTATCCGATAATCTCGCGCACGGGACCAGAAGAATCTGGCTTAATCGGTCCAATTTCAAAGATTAACAAGAGCCATGCTATTGTTATTATCCTAATCCATGACTTTATAGACAGAAAAACTGTGTGATGAGCCCATGAATTGAGGAATCTTAAAACTTGAGTTAATCATGGAACCCACTGCGAAGTGAACTTTTTTCACTTTTTGACGAGAGAGCTTGCCTCAAGCACCATAAAAGAAGGAGTAATTGAAAAATTGAAATTGGCGGGCCGTCTAGTTTCCAGTGCGATCAGATTAGCACGCTGAATAGTCACGTATAGTATTCCGTAAATATAAAATATTTTTTAAAAAATTAGATGTTAAAAAATTAAAATATAATCATTGTTTTTTTTTGAATATCTTTATTGATAATAATTTTATATTTATTATAGAGTGTTTAATAAAGATAAATATAGAAAGATAAAATTAGTTAAAAAATATGTAACTATTTTATTGGATGGTGAGATTCGATTAAAAATATCTTATATTTTTAAATGGAATGAGTACTTGTTTTAAGCTAAAATATATTTTTAATATTATAATTTTACATAAAATTTTAATTTAATTTTTTAATTTTATAAATTATCTTTTTAATTTTTTAACAATGATACTGTTAGTTTCAATGATTATTTTTTATGTTGATCATTATTATTTTAAATAAATAAATTTAATGTGTCAACATTTAAAAATTTAATATAAATTTTTTTTTGTGATAAAACTAATGATATTAAAATTAAAAAAACTGAAAATGCATTCTATAAGATTTAAAAAATCAAAATGAAACATTATATAAAAATAAAGGCTAAAAGAATATTTTAGTTACTTGTTTTATCTAAGCACTTGTTGTATTATTCCGTAGAGGTAAAAACAAAGTATTAATGGTTTGTGCATGATATTTGTCATTAGAAGGTACCATTTTTGGTCCAGTGCCTAATTGACTCATCGATCTATCGAGCAGTTTGAGCATGCGTGAACTGGCGCTAAGGACTCTTGAAATAATTGGAAAGAGGGAGAGGAAGCATTCAACAAGCTCGGTCAAAGAAACGAGCATGATATCGACGGTTGGGCGGAAGAATTTAATAAATTAAAAAATAAAAATTGAGGCGTAAATAATTTATTAATACTATAACTCACCCCTAACTAATAAATTGCTTATAAGAATGTCCATCAATTGAATAAAAGTCATAGATGTGCATATTGAGTTTGTTTGAATATAAAGTAAATAATTCACCTCGCATACCTTTCGTTGAAGTCATGCGATGTGAAGGAATATATGTTAAAAAAAAAAATATTTGAGAAAATGAATGACAAAGACAATAACGATAACAATAACAATGGAATTGTTTGACCGGATTCTCGGTTAAGGTAGTGTCAAGTTAATTAGAGATATTGAACTTGAGTCTCGTAAGAATGCAGCACCATTGATAAGAAAACTTCTAATAGAAAATCTCCTTTTAATTTGATACGAATTAGTCTGAGTTTCTATTAAATTCCTTCAACTAAACGTCGAGCATACTCAACATATTGAATGCTCTGATTTAACAGAATCATGTGACCCGATAAAAGAGAATGAAGGGAGATAGGAAATGGTGAGAGAGAGTGGATGTTGCAAGGCCTTCAAGAAAAGGCCGTGTGAAGGAGCCTTGAGGTTTTAAACAAAATTATTTAAGAAATCTAATACATTATACTTCCTCCTTTAAAAAGATAAGATATTTTTAATTAAATTTACTATCTAATAAAATAGTTACTTATTTTTAAATTAATTTTATTTTTATATTTATCTTTATTAAACACTATACGGTAAATATAAAGTCATTCATCAATAAAGATTTTTTTCAAGTAATAATTACATCTCAAAAAATTAAAAATACTTTATATTTTTAAATATATAACTTCTCAAAAAATACATTACATTTTTAAATGAAAGAAATATCATTTATGATCTACTTTCATATTATTTTCTCTAGCTTTTTAATGGGACCTTATCTCTCAAATCTCAGCAATCTTTTTTCATTGTCTTGGATCATAAATATTTTGGGATGTTTCATTTCATGCACTATCATTATGCTCAATAATTTCTTCAATTAAGTTATCTTTATTTAAACTTTTTTCATCTTCCCATTCTTGACTGGAATTGAAACCACTAATATATTTGTCATTATCTATAAGGGATTCTTCGATCACTTTTTCATCAATTGAATTTTTTATTATATCTTTTTTATTATGACCAATAATAAATTTATCAATAGCACTACCTTGTTATTGAATCAAATTTTCAAATCTATTAAAACTAGACTCAAATTTCCTATTTAATATTTTTGACACTTTAAATCGTATAAAAAAAATAAAACAATCACAATTTCAAATAAAAATAAAAGAAAAACAAACATAGCTTATAAACAATGTGAAGTCAATTGAAAAAATATATTGAATATAGGTGAATATTCTTGAAAAGCCAAGGCAACAACCTCAATGGCCTTGAGTAACTGTTTTGATATAAGTATTGAGTATTTATATTATTCAAGATACTGAAATCTATATTGATAATTTAAATAAATCACTCATTTTATTAATTTTAAATAAAATATAAATTTATAATTATTGATTTAAATTTTAATAATTTAAATGATACAAATGCTTAATACTTATATCACATACAGATTTACGCGGCGGGCAATCAAGTGAGAGGGATAATCTAATTTGAATCGCGGGGAAGTGATGTGGGGTGATGGTACAATTGCCAGCTCTCCACCAAGGCACCACAATCTTGGTCCCCTCACCTTCTACCACGGCGGCCCACACACACAAAATTAATTACAGTGCTTTCTCAGCATTCTCTTTTGGTAGTTACAAGTGATTATGCTTCAAGAATGAATGTTCCTCTGCCATTGGCGTTTTTACCATGTGAAACTTCAATCATAACCTGCCACGCCATCTTCCATTGTCCCCAAACTATACCCCAAATATCATTGTCCTTCCTAAAATCAGTCTTTTTAAATTACGAGATAATTTAAAATAAAATTATGTATGCTTATAAAACACAATAATGGCACCTTGCAAATTTATTTTTACAAAAAAAAAAAAAAAGCTACAAGCTTTTAAATATGACATAGCAATTGACCATTATGCGATAATATTATTTTAATATTCTCTCCACATAAAAGGTGACAATTAAAAAATATCACTCGTGAAACTTTATTTTTTTAATTTATCTTGTATTTTGAAATAACTAAATTCCTTCCAAAATTGTCACATAATCTGAGACAGGGAGTAATATATGGGTGATGCCAATCCATGTGTTATTATCCATTGACTAGACTTCGGGATAAGAGTTGAAGTTGGGGAATAATGCGATCATCCTCCATCGTATTAAAATACAGAAACTTATCAAAGCAAGCAACATTGTTTCATGCCATATATTGGTCAATTCCACGTCTATTTTTAAAAGCATTAATTATAAAGCTAAATTTATAAATTCTTTGACTTCGATATACTTATAGATCATAGACGACTAGATTGGAAAACTGTTTTTTTTAATATAAAATAATAAACCTTGGCAGAACGGTCTGGTTTGAGCATGGGTTGTTGTACTGACTGAATATAATTATTTAGTTGCTGTTTGATTTTTTTTACTGTATATTTATCTTCCCAAGAGCCCAAGCATCACTAATCTTCTATTTAGATAGGAAGAAAAATTAAAAAGAAAGAGAATGAAATAAGAAAAAATAAAAAAAGAGAAAATTAAAAAAATATTATTACTCCTTGTATTTGGATGAACATGATAAAACAAAAAAAAAAGAAAATGAATAGATATTATTATGATTATAATTTTTTCATATCAAAATATATCATATTTTGTGTAATTACTTTGTAAAGATAAATTGAGAGCAGAAATTATATCAAAATAAACATAATAAATTGAAATCAAATTAGTTGTTAAAAAGTATCTTAATATTATTATATTTTAAAATTAAATAATTTAATAAAAATAGGTTATTTTTACCTTTAAAAATTCAAAAGTGGGCACTTTGTTTAACATAACACACACACACACTATACATTACTCTAAACAGCTTATTTTTTTTTATATTTTGACACTTGTTTTGTTGTTAATAGCGCAATTTTCCAGACCGCATGTTTTCTCTGGTTAGAGCCTTTTTTCCCTAAACACACCGTTCTTCCAAGATGTTATAATTATTTCATCACATTTCTTATTTTGCTCTCAGGTCTGTCTTCTATCCCCTTTTTTTTATTTTCTTCAGTTCTTTTTAGCACCTAATCCAATCAACCCAAGAGGACAACAGTTAATCATTTAAATGAAATCCATGAAAATAAAAAATGTAGAAGCAAAATCGAAACTGCTGGAAGAATAGTGCAACGAAGAACATGCCAGAGAAGAACGTGTTTCCTGTGTCAAAGTGCAGAAATGAAAATATAGAAAACATTTCTCTGTCCAAAAAAAAATAGAAAATATAGAAAACATGTAAGGGGGAAGAAGAAGTGATGATGGCAGATGATGGGGAAAAAAAGTTTTCTTTTTAAAATCTCTCCTCTTATAATAAAGGTTAAAGTTAGGAAGAAAATATTACGAGTCCTGTGTCTCATTTTCTTTCCCATTTTTTTTTAATTTCATTTTTCTCTCCTCATTTTAAATGGGATTTATTTTCTCCCATATTTTCTTTTCATATCTTCCCTCCATCCAAATAGTTCAAATAGGGCATGAAAAAAGGGGGGGGGGGTTAAAATATCAACCCCGTGTTCCACTTTCAATCTCATCAATGACATTAAACATACCCAACTAATAGCCAATGAGGGGTACCCACAACACAACAGAGTTTAGCGGGCTCCAGCCTTTTTCGCTTTTATATATTTTCCAATAAAATTTAAATGTTGAAATATGTCCTCTTTTATACCAGTTTTTAAAATATTTTTAAATAAAATTACACATATAAAAATTCATTAAATATATTCTATGATTTTATTTTTTAAAAATATAAAATTATAAAAATATTATTCATTTAATAGTTTATATAGAAAAAATATTAAAGAGAGATAATATAATAAAAAAATAATATAAAAAAATCATTAATAAAATTTTATTTTTATTCAAGTATGTTATTTGTTGAGATGTTGAACTACTCTTAAAGTGTTTTATAATTTAAGGTGTAGATAATATATGTTTAAATATTATTAAATTTTATAATATTATTTATAATATAATTTATTAATTGTCAAAAAATATGTTATTCATCTGACGAAAATAGTGAAGGCTTTGAACAGAAATGGGTGGGATTGTTGGGAACCATTCAAGGCGACACAAATGATGGAGGACAAGTTGACAATCAAGCGCGTCATGCCTCTTGGAAGCAGCGCAAGCTCATGGCTTCAGTTTGAGTAGTTTTGTAACCTTTCATTTTCCCATCTTTAAATACCTTGTTCCTTCCTCTAACTGCTTCTTCACTTCTCACTCCCAGTCTTTTCATTTCATTTATTGCTGCTTATCTTCTCAAACTCACCAAGTCTGCTCTCTGAGTATGAACACGCACTGTGACATCGTTGAAACTTCAAAGTCCAAAAGCAGAATTTGTCAACACCTGCGGCCCTGTCATCTCCTATTGGCCCTCTCCCATGCTCAAGCTTTCTGTACTCAGAATGTCACAGATTATTGATTATTCATAATAAGATCATAAGGCCAAAAGTAACAAGGGGACCCATTTCAAACTCAGATCTGTGAATCCAGTTCACAACATTTGTTCCCTCTTTCACCGTGAAGCATTTGCAGTCATTTTCTTCTTCCCTTGGGCGTTGCGCTCAGCACTTTGTGGAACCCCGTTTCTGATAAATAGCGTTTCCCATAGAAGTGTAGCTTTCATGGCGTCGACGAGTGCTTGGTAATTTCAAAGCTAGCTCGCATTGATTGTCTCGCCCCTTCCTAGTTCTTACCCCCCTCTACCCGTGTTCTTCTGGACGACCTTTGTCTTCTTCCCTTTTTCTGGTCTCCCTCGTTGTCTCTTTGAAAAGAAATGATAAAACCTTGGCTCTCTCTCTTCTTTCTTCTCCTCATTGAAGTTAGGTGCGTTTTTTTATTTATTTAAGTTCATTGTTTTTTTCCTAAATGTATGGATGATTTCTGAAAGTGTGGTTTTCTGTTGGATAGGGATTTTGTATGGAATGGCCTGAGCTACTTCCGGATCTCCGCTTTTCGGTGTTCTACTGACTGTTGAAGATTTTAACTGAGAGGTAAAAGGGAACTTTGTGACATTTTGGCATTTCTTTTGAATAACATGGAAAGCTACAATTGTCTGGTCAGTTCAAATGTGACTATCATTTTGCAGTCGCTGTTCATTGAAGGTGACAACTCCTCGTGAAGGCGTGCATTGATAAGTGGTTTTGTTGCATCGTTTGTGAAGGAAAGATCCAAAATTTTCCGATTATTCCGAAGATGTTGTGTGCTTGTTCCGGGGAGCAATTCAAATTCGAAGACCCGCCACAGTCACCGGAGTCCCTCGCAACAAGAGATTTCTCGGCCAGTGGACTCTCTTCGAGGACTGGGGATTGGGAATCTAAATTTGATGACACCCAAGTAGACGAAGCTGAATCTACTCTTAAAGAAGCTCTCTCCTTGAACTACGAGGTGGAAATGTATTTCTTTCTTTGTGAATTTAATTGGCCACAGTGAAAATGGTGCAAGGGATCATTCTGCTTACTGTAGACTAATATTCGATTCTTCTTTTTGGATGAATTGCAGGAAGCTAGGGCTTTGTTGGGGAGGCTTGAGTTCCAAAGAGGGAATTTCGATGCTGCTCTTCAGGTATTTCAGGGGATTGACACTAAAGGTTTGACCCCAAGGATGATTAGGGCCATTTCTGAGAGAACCAGGCAAAGAAAACAACGTTCTAAGGCCGATCACTTGCTTCCCTCTATAATGTCAATGCATTCAGTGAGCCTTCTTCTTGAGGCTATTCTTCTTAAAGCTAAATCATTGGAGGCACTCGGACGTTACACCGGTATATATATTACTATCTTATTGCCTCGTTAACTCTTTGATACAATTTGGAACCATCTTGTGAGTTGTTTGATTACGATGTGTTTGCAAAATGATCCAAAATGTTTTGTTTGTGGAACTGGGAAGTTGAAGGTTTCATCCCGAGACGAAGTGGTTTATATGATACTGCATACGCAGCATCAAGAATGTAAACAAATGCAATTTCTAATGATTATGACATTTTCTTTACCAGAAGCCGCAAAGGAGTGCAAAATAATTCTGGACACGGTTGATTCTGCGCTACCAGCTGGAATGCCTCAAGGTTTTGGCGAAGATTGTAAACTGCAAGACATGTTTCACAGAGCATTGGAGTTACTTCCAAAACTTTGGACCAATGCAGGCTTGCTAGATGAAGCTATCACTGCTTATCGGCGGGCTCTGATCAAGCCTTGGAATTTGGGGCCGCAAAGGCTGGCCACCATGCAAAAAGATTTAGCTGTCACACTCCTTTATGGTGGTGTTGAAATAAGCCTTCCCTCTCATTTGCATGTGTGGGGTGTAACAACGCCGAAGACTAACATTGAAGAAGCTTCCCTGTTGTTGCTAGTACTTATGAGAAAGATAGCACTTCAGGAAATCGAATGGGATTCCGAACTATTAGATCATCTTGCATTTGCACTTTCAGTTACTGGGATGTTTGAATCATTGGCAGATCACATGGAGCAGATCCTTCGAGGTGTCTATAGCCGTGCTGAGAGGTGGTACTTTCTTGCCCTTTGTTATAGTGCTGCAGGACAGAATGAAACAGCATTGAACCTTCTAATGAAAGTTTGTGGTAGTTCTGAAGCAAAACATAGACCCCATTTTCCTTCCTTTTTATTTGGAGCAAAACTGTGTTCCCAAGATCCCAACCATGCGTATGAAGGCATTAAATTATCACGGACAGTGATTCATCTAGCCAAGCATCAATGTGAGCATTTTCAGGGTCAAGGTCACAGATTTCTTGGTGTTTGTTACGGGGCTGCAGCTAGAATTTCTGTCCTGGATTCTGAAAGAGTTATATGCCAAAGAGAGTCTTTGAATTCTTTAAACCAAGCTGCTTCAATTGGAAATAGCGACCCAGAAGTGTTATTCAGCCTTGGATTGGAAAATGCAGTTCAAAGAAATCTGATGGCAGCTTATGAGAATGCAGTGATGTACTCAGATTTGATCGTTGGCAGCTCAGGAAGAGGTTGGCAACTGTTAGCACTCATAGTATCTGCACAGCAACGGTTTAAGGATGCTGAGACTCTGGTTGATTTTGCTTTAGATGAATCTGGAAGGATGGATCAGTTACAACTTTTAAGATTGAAAGCCGTGCTTCAAATTGCTCAGCAGCAACCTAAACAAGCAATAGAGACCTACAGAATCTTGCTTGCACTAATTCAAGCAAGAAAGGATTTTTGGCTTGAATACAAAAACATCGATCCAGCAAACACGTTGAGACATGAGGTGTGTGTTTTAAATGATATGTAAGGTGATTGTAAAGAAGTAACACTTGTCTGAGGGAAGGTGCTAACAAAATAAGAACCTCTGTCACCTTTAGCTTTCTGAACCCTGCAAAAAATTTGCTTGCTTATTTTTACCCTTTTCTCTGTGCAGGAATCAACAGAAAAAAAATTGGAAATGGAAGCCTGGCAGGATTTGGCAACCATTTATGCCGATCTAGGTGCCTTGCTTGATGCAAAAACTTGTGTAGACAAAGCCCAGTTGATAGAATTCTTTTCTCCCAGAAGTTGGCATATCACAGGTTTGAAACCTGCCTGTTCAAGTATTGTTTAATCATTTTTGTGTTTATGAACATGATAAGTTCATGCATTAACAAGTCACTAAAATTCCATGGATGCGGCAAAATGGCAGGGACATTGTTTGAAGCTAAATCATTGTACAAGGAGGCCATTGTCTCTTTCACAATTGCATTATCGATAGAACCAGATTATGTTCCCAGCATCATTTCAACTGCAGAATTGTTTTTGAAAGCTGGTATGCAATCGCTTCCAATCGCAAGAAGCTTTTTAATGAACGCTCTGCGTTTGGAACCCACAAACCATGATGCGTGGTTCAACCTTGGATTGATTTCAAAAATGGAGGGTTCATTGCAGCAAGCAGCAGATTTCTTCCAAGCTGCATATGAGCTGAAGCTTTCAGCGCCAGTTGAAAGATTTGTGGGAGTAATTGACACTTCGAGATGAGAGAACACCTGTAACTGATTTGGTCGAGAGAAAGTGAGTTTCATCAATAGCATAATAGATACTTGTTCAATATGTATAGCAATTCTAGCTGCTCATCTGTAGATCTACTTCATGCTGCTTCAATCAAATGTCTCACACATTTCACAGTTGAATTAAAACAGGAAGACGTAATACATTTATAGACTGAGTAAATTTTGCTTTAATCAGCATCTTGTCAAACAATGAATTTAACTTTTCGTTATAATATCTGGTACTTATTACTGATGTTTTTTTCCCTCTTTGTCTGCACCACTTAACTTCTCCTTAGTTCAAGGAGAGGGGAGGGGAGAGGAAGGGATGGAGGGAAAGGGAGGTGAGGGAGGGAGGGTGGGGGGAGGGAAAGCCCCCTCCCCCTCCTCTCTCTGACTCTTTCCCTCCCCTCCTCCCCCCCTCCAAAAATTTTCTCTTCCCTCCTCTCTCCTCTCCTCCAACCAAACAATGCTTTGAAGAACTTGAACTTTCTATACCATTTCCAAATGCTCATTCATGGCATTGAGTGAATCCAACTTAGACGGCCTTTTTTCTTTTTAAAAAAAATTCTTCTAATTTTAATTCAATTTTTAAATTGATTTATTATAATTTAATTTTTAAAATTTTAATTTGATTTTAAAAAATTTTTAAACTTTACTTCTTACAATTTATTTCTTGAAGTTTCAACCTCATAAATGTTGATCTTTATATTTTTAAAAATAAAATTATAAAGATTAAAAATATTTTAAAATTTTAATCTTTATAATATTTATAAAGATTAAAAAGTTTAATAATTTAAAATGTTAGTAATAAATTTTAAAATTTTTAATTTTTATAATTTTATTTTTTAAAATATAAAAACTAATATTTAATATGTTAAAATTTCAAGGGCTAATTTGTAAGAGACAAAATTCAAAAACTGATTTACAATTAAATTAAAACTTTAAAAATTAAATTATAACGAGTCAAAATTTAAAATTAAATTATAACTATATTAAAATTACATGAATCAAATGATTAATTTTTTTTTTTAATCACTACAAAGGCACGGTAAGAACCAGACAGCTTAATTTCAACAAAGTTCCACACAGTCCACCAAGGCACCAAGTTTCCCATTGTGGATTCCCTTGCAATATGGATGGAATTCCAATTTCAGGCACCACCAGTTATTCTAACTATTGCTTGCCTGATAGGTTAGTATTTAATAAAAGATCAGAAGATGAATTTGAATAGTGCATTCAATCCTCCAACTGTTACCCCGATAGGCACCTCCTCTCGTTTTCCAGACGGGTTAACATCAATATACTTCAAAAAGAATCCAGTACGCGACAACGATTTAATTTAAATATAACAACCGAATTTACAATCAGTAAACAGGGTAGTCATGTTCAAGTTTATTTTTTTTCTTATAAAAAGATTAAGTTGATGGAATATCAACAAAGAAAGAGAATATCATACTTCATTCTGAAAGCTAACCCTAGTTTCCTTTACAGTTTACACCATGACTTCGTCACAATCAAACAGAGTATTTCTTGGTCTCAGACAACTAAGATTTGACGGATGATGCAATTACATTAAAGACCATTTGTTCAGCTTTGGAATAAGGGAACCTGGCTGCATGAAGAATATGACTGGACTTATAAGTAGTACTGCAAAACAGAAAAAGAAACCGATGACAATGAGGGAATGGCCCTAATCATATAAAGGTTCAATATGTTACACACAATATTCCCTTAAGAGTGACACTCGCCTAAATAACCAGAGAAAAGCAGTAAGCTCATCCAACCCAACTAGGTTGTCTTTGATTCAGTAGATCAGGCAGTTTGGCTTTAGTTAAAGTACAGTAGTTCCTCAACAAGACAGGTTTTTACTCCAAAAAAGAAATAAAATGAAGACAAAAATTAATTAGCCAAATCTGGATCAAAGCTACATATTTCTCTGACCTGCTACCTGTCTTTTAATCATATATTCATGTAGTATTATGAACTGGGTAATCATTCATGTCTCTTTTAATCATGTATGCCTGAAGCAAAATTGATTTGGCCCTTATTATAGCAGCTATTACAGCCTGGTTGAACTCGTGAAACAGTTATTGGCCAAATAAAACAGTGTGATCAGCTGCATCGTTGTAAGCAAAGCTTTCTCTATGCATATCCTGGACCCAGCAAAAACGTTTGACTTACTACTATTGGCAAGAAGAAAGTTTGTCTTCCACAAAGGCCTTAAATCCAGGCTCCATATAATTTAGCCCAATTTAAGGTGGGAGAACCACCAAACCAACCTCAGTATTCAACAAATTGGTTTGGATTTGTTCACCTTGACAAATTGATTTGGTACAAAAATATGAAGTGCAAGTTTATAAAGTTGGATTGAAAATATCCAGTCCATACTTACATGTAAAAACAGTAAAATGAGAAAAATTAATGATGATGAATGTAGCTTGAATCATCAAATAAGAATGGAGTCATTAAATATTAATGCCTATTCTCTCAGTGAACCTGCCATAAGAAAAACCTGAGTTCCTACTTTCACAACTAGACTGAACTGAACAGACATGCACAACCAAATAACAGGTCACATGCACTTGATCAGATCGATTATTCATCTCACCTTACAAGGAATTTGACATCGAGATAGACAATTGCTGAACCTCAACCCATCTGCCACTGCATCCACAATTGACATAGTCAAACCATAATATAAGCGAGTTTCAATAAACTCAATATGATCTAAACCATTTAAGATTGTTAGTCAAAATTCACAAAGAACAAAGCAGCACATTAAAGACCAATATCTTGAAAAACAAGACACATGTAAAGACATTCGTAATTAATATGACCATCTTGATTTATACAAGGACACTAGCAGATTTAACAACAGCATAAATTAATGCTTGCCAAAAACCAACAAAGTTATCCTGAATCATTATACCTTTAGAACTGGTTCACCTTTGTTGGTGTTTGCAGATTTCTTTGCCATTGCCTGTTGCTGTGCACGAGCAGCTCGTCCAGCTGCTGAATTATCAAATTGTTCTTGCCTGCAGTTACACTCGAAGCAAATAAGTTGGGAAAACATTTACCTGTAGTCCTGTATTGTCACTACTGCTACATGCAGGGGGTCCATGCATGTGTTGTGTTTTCATCTGGGGCTTCCCCTTTTCATAGCAAGTTTCTGCTATTATGCTTCACATGCTAATCAAAGTGAACTTTATTGAATGCTCATTTACAAACACGTTCAAATGATGTCCCATACATGTTCTTTCATGTTATCCTATCCATAAATTTAGGTTACAATAGCTTAGCTATCCACATTGACCTCGAAATTGAATTTTTCCTAGTGACACTGAGTTACTGATGCTGCATGAAGCCTCTAGTAGATAGAATCCAGAACAGAACAGTGTTTATATATGATGTTCAACAATAAGAAGCCACAGTAAGCCTTCCAAGGCAAAAAATTCCCTTTGAACTGTCAAACAGAATATAAACAACAGTCCAATAGCTCAACAATTGACAGATTCAAATAAAACTTTAGACACAAAATACCAACGTTCGAACTTTTGAATTGAAGTCTCTTATTCTTCTCGAGGGAAGAAAGACCAGTAGAAGCAGAAGCAAAAATGAGTCCGTCAAGATTCACAAATCTCATGCATAGTTTTTACTGGGATAGATTGACCTTCAAATGCAAGATGATCAAAGATTCCAACATTCCATGTGGCTATTCCGTCAAAAACGGAATTCCCAAAATATGTGTACGAATCCATTACTTGTTACAAAATGATCATAACTGTTAACATTTAAATCGTAAAAATAAAATGAATTGACAAGAAAAAGGGGAGGGATTGCCTTTTCTGGGCTGCTTCGGCAGCTTTAGCGCGTGCTTCTTCAGAGGCCAATCTCTCCTCTTCCTTGGTCATTCGCTTGTCGCCTCCGCCGAAGCAACCAAAGCACAGCCCCATCTCGCCGTCTATCAGACCGTCTCTGCCTCTGTTTCTATGAAACCCTTGACCCCCTTCAATCTATTTCTTGATTCCTCTGTTCATCCGTCCTTTCTTCGTTTGACTTCTCTCGTATTGTGGATATTCTCGGGTTCTTTTCCCTAATATTCTAATATAATAATCAGGATCGTGTATAAAAAAACGCGTGCTTTCCTGTTTATCATTTATCCATTGCGCCTGCCTTTCATAGACATTTGCTCGAAGGTTCGCTGCATTTAGGGAGATTAAACTGCCTGTTTAGATTGGAGTTGAATACACGAGATAATCATGATTTTTAAAATATTAATTTAAAAATGAGGTTGATAAATCATTTTATTTGGATATTTTTTTAAAAGGGATTATGAAAAAGTTAATTCATTTTAGATTGTATTCATAATAATCACATTTAGATATATAATTAATTAAATGGTGTGTTTTTTATAAAGTTGTTTAATTTACTGTAATTATTATTATCAAATATAATTTAATAAAAATCCAATCGTGATTTTTTAAATGCATAATACTCAACGTGCGGCAAAGAATCTGAGTCACGATTGATTGAAATTTTCAAAAAATTATTCAAATAATGCAAATGAGCATAATTTATTTGGGCTTAAACAAGATTATATAGGTTTTTATGGCTAAACCAAAAAGACACTAAATAAAACTGAATAGGTGTACCTTGTAAAAATAGTGTGCAAAACTTTGGAAATAAATGAGCCTTTTCTAAATGAATATTTTCTCCTTGATTTTTTTCCCTACCTGACATCTTCTTAAGGCAGTTATATTCGATACATGTCAAGCATTAAATGTATCTCTCAATAAAAATTCAAACTCTAATTCATCAAGTTGTGAAAGATTAATTCCTTTCACTAAATTTAATTTGTTACTTTCTCCAATTTGTTATATGAGATGAAATTAATTAATTTTGTATTTATTAAAAAATATTAGTTATAACTTTAAAATTATAAAAAAAAATGTAACTTCTCAATTTTGTCCCTATTTACAATTAATAACTATAGTAAACTGTTGTTAAGAAATTGAAATGACAATAAACTTGTTTTGAATTTTGAAAGGAAATGTATTTTAATAATTTTTAAGTATTGATGAAATTTAATAGTTATAATTAAAATACTTATTAAGTAAGTAGACTTGAGATATTTATTAAGTAAATAGACTTAGACCAATTATCGAATAAAAATTCATTATTTTATACATACA